AGCCCAGGAGTTGGAGCTTGCTGTGAGCTGTAATGCCACGGCACTCTACCCAGGGGGACAGCTTGAGGCTCTGTCTCAAAAAAAAAAAAAAAATTTTCCTTATTATTATATATTTATTAGGCTTTCATAATGATTCTGCTCCTGTAGCTCAGTGGGTAGGGCGCCACAGATACCAGAGCTGGAGGGTTCAAATCCAGCCTGGGCCTGCCAAACAACAGTGACAACTACAACAAAAAAAATAGCTGGGCTTTCTCTACAACATAATGATTGACCAGGATAGATAAGCTTATATAACACATTGTTGACATGATGGACCATTACATTTCACTTTCCTTTTATTAAATTTTTATTCTGTTTTCTGAAGCCAGTAATTAAAGCTAAAAATAAAATTCTTATCTAGTATGGTGTGTCTTAGTACCATATTTCATTTTCAAATAAGTCTTTGATAAAGGCATTATAGGGGTTAATAATCTTGTCTGTGGTCTACCTGTCTTGCTGTTGAGCTTCTATTCTCTAAGGGGGATACCAGCACAGTAATTCAAGTCTTTTCTTTGTAACAGCAAAATTTGCCTTAAGCGTCACACTCCTACAAGGTAGCCATCTGCTGTTGGTTTAGGATTTCAGGCAGGCATGTGTGTTCCAGAATAAGGGTGATTCTGCAAATGTTTTGGCAAGTGGCCAGCCTCCTATGGAAATGTAATCAGCATCTGGCACGGAAATGCAAGGAAGCCCTGCTACTGCTGCTTTAGTTCTACTTTGTTTGGATCTTCATTGTGGGCTCTTATATCTTGTATTTCTAGGAACTCTTTTAAAAAATCATATGTGAAGTAAACAAAATAGTTTAATGAGCCTCTCCTTTATGTATCACCCAGATTTCTAGTATTCTTTTTGAGAGAGTTTTTCTAATAGTTGTTTAAAAAACAAAATCTCTATATGCTACTAATCTTGCTGCCTTCCCCAAGCTGTGGACTGAGTGTTTTGTGTTTTATTTATAGTACAAAACATAAAGCCACCTTTTGGCTGAGCAGGCTATAGCAATGTGCTTAAGAGATTGGTTTCAGGGTGTAGGTCTTTTTTTTTTTTTTTTTTTTTTTTTTTTTTTTTAATGTTTTTCTCCCCAGGAGATGGTGAGTTTTATTTTCTCTTGTCTGGGCAGAAGTTTGATTTGCTCTCAAATGTTCCAGGGTGGAGAGACACTAGGCAAAAATACAGGATATTGGGTGGCACCTGTAGCTCAGTGGGTAGGGTGCCAGCTACGTACACTGAGGCTGGCAGGTTCAAACCCGGCCAGGGCCAGCTAAAAACAACAATGACAATTGCAACAAAAAAAGATATCCAGGCATGGTGGCGGGCGCCTGTAGTCCCAGCTACTTGGGAGGCTGAGGCAAGAGAATCACTTTAGCCCAGGAGTTGGAGGTCCTGTGAGCTGTGACACCACGGCACTGTACCCAGGATGACAGCTTGAGACTCTGTCTCAAAAAAAAAAAGCACAGGATGTTGAGGTCTATTCAGTGTAATATTGTCCCTTGTTTTTATCTTTACCATCAACAGAGAACCGCATACTTGCTTGCAGAACTGGACTTGGAGGCTGGATTTTCCTCAGGTTTCTTCAGCTCAGGTGCAGATCTAGAGTCTTAATCCTTTTTGTCATCTTTCTTACTCGACTCCTTCCATTCAGTCTTTGTTCCCTCAATCTCCTGGACCATGGCTGGAGTTCTCAGTTTGGCCTTTTGGGATACTCATCCCATCTACTTTATTTTCATCTTTCTTTGCTGATCCTTTCTGAGATGGCTGAGCTGAAGCTAGTTTTCCCCCGCCATTTGTAGGGAATGGTTACTCTATGTCTGAGCTCTGAGTTTGAGCAGGAGGATTAGAACTTCACTTCACCCAAGCAGTCTCCTTTGGTGGAGTGGTTGGCATTGCCTTTGGGGTCTGATCAAGTTTGAGAGGCTTAGAAGTTGGGAGAGTGGGAGGCGCCTGTGGCTTAGTGAGTAGGGCACCGGCCCCATATACCGAGGGTGGCGGGTTCAAACCCAGCCCTGGCCAAACTGCAACAAAAAATAGCCAGGCGTTGTGGCGGGCGCCTGTAGTCCCGGCTACTTGGGAGGCTGAGGCAGAAGAATCACCTAAGCCCAGGAGTTGGAGGTTGCTGTGAGCTGTGACTCCACTGCACTCTACTGAGGGTGAAAAAGTGGGACTCTGTCTCTACAAAAAAAAAAAAAAGAAGTTGGGAGAGTGACAGTCTTCCTCCTTATGAAGTATTTCATTTATTCCAGAGACTTCCCATACTCTCTCCTTCACACATCTCTGCCAGATGTGGCTGAGGTCTCAGTTTGCAGTGAATCACTTCCTGTCCTCCACTGTTCCTGTTGCTGAATTTCTTCTCTTCTCCAGCTTGGATGTCTCTCCTGAGGCCGTTCTGGTTTTGGCTCATCCAGCTGACATAGCAGTTTCTCTTATTCCTTTTGTAGTTGTTCTTCTACTTCTCCTGCTCTAGCAGCTATGTCATTGGGCTTTGCCCTTCTAAAGATGGAAGCCGTTCAACTGAACTGAGAGGTGCTAGCAGAGGAATTATTTTCCTTACCAATACTCTGAGGCTTTAGATTCAGTTTGGGTCTTGTTGGGGGTGCTTTATCATCATACCTATGAACATCCTGATAATAATCATCTCTGGAGCTCTGTGATCTGTCATCCCTTCTGTTGTAACAGTTTTCATAGTGATCCATGCCTCCTCTGTAGTCATCATCTCTAGTAACCACCACCAAAATGCTCTTGCCATGGCCTATCCTAGAATCATAGTCTCTGCTGCCTTGGTCATTGTAGTGATCCTGGCCTCCATATTGATTCATGCCCAGCATAGACCATCACAGTACCCATCCCGATACCAATCTGAGTCATAATGATCTTGATACTTATCTCCACCATTATCATCACCTCTTCTAGGTGGATAGTCATCAAAGATTTCTGTAGAAGGATGGACTTTCCAGTCTGTATCTGTTCTGTAGAATCCTGATTTTTATCCTGGACAAAAGAACAATCATCCCTGTCTTTATCCTGTGCTTGATCAGCATCATGTACTCAAATTCTCCTGTTACCTAGAGACTCTCCAGTGAGACTCAAGGCACTGTGCAGGGAGTTCAGGAAATTTAGCATAACCACAGCCTTTCACCCTGTCTAGATTACTGAGTTTCTGGGGTAAACACACACTGCACTGCACCTAATTGAGTCTTCTGTCACATCTTAGGGCAGCAGGTTCCTAGAAAAGCAGTGTAGGGTGGGAATTTGGGAAGACCACTCTGGTTAATATTGAGTTCCCTAGTAGCCCAAGGAAAAGTGGGAAGGATGAAATGGTCAATTGGAGGTTGTTCTATGTTCAC